AAACCCTAAACCCTAAAAACCCTAAACCCCGAACCCTAAACCCTAAACCCTAAAAACCCTAAACCCTAAACATTAAACCCTAAAAACCCTAAACCCCAAAAACCCTAAACCCTAAAAGCCCTAAACCCCGAACCCTAAAAGCCCTAAACCGAGCCTCGGTGGCCTTGTGCGAGGGTAAGAGTCAACAAAAACCCTTTGCCACTCCGCCACTGCATTGAACCCCAACCCCCCAGGTACCTACTATATAGGGTACTAAAGCCCCTAGGGCCCTATATAGGGCACTAAAGCCCCTAGGGCCCTACAAAGGGCACTAAAGCCCCTAGGGCCCTACAAAGGGCACTAAAGCCCCGAGGGCCCTAGAAAGGGTACTAAAGCCCCTGGGGCCCTGTATAGTAGGTGCCTGGGGGGTTTGGGGAAGGAGCCTTCCCGGACGTTCGGCGCTGCTGTGGCCCCGGCAAGGAGGGAGCAGGGCTTGGGATCTAGGGCTTTAGGTCTTGTTAGGGGCTTTATATGCCTTTGTGGAGATTTTAGAACTGTTGAGTGTGTAAATAGAGTTTGACGGTCCAGGCTTTTAGGGTTGCTCAGTTTTGGGGTATACCGTATACCGTTTCTGATGTTGGCGGCTTGCCGGAAGGGTGCAGGAGCAGCCATTATCAGAATATAACTACGAACTGAGGTCTTTCTTTCCTTTGAAAGTACCCAGCAACATATATTCAAGTAGGCTGCAAACTCGGAAGGTGGTCGCAGACCTCAACATTTGCACCCACGCCCTACCTCTCGACTCATGCATAAAGAGATCTTATTGCAGCCTTTGCAGACTGGGAAGCCCCAAAGCTCCAATCCCCTGAAACCTCCTCTGGTCTGCTGACTGAGCTTAGCGTTCAGGGTTTAGGGAGCTGACTGTAGTTGCAAAGCTTAGTCTCCCGCCCACCCATCGACCTCCCAAAGAAGCAGAAGAAAAGCGGTCAACCCTGAGCCCCCATGGCGCAGACATGCACCCCCGTGTCGCGAACCAAGGTGAACCCGCTAAGTGGGGGCCAATGGTCGGACCTCATCGTCTGGCTCTTGGTACTCCTTTCTTGCACCTTGCAGCAGGGACATAGAAGGCCAGGCATCAACACTTAAGTGTTCTTGCTTCAGAGGTCGCAGTACCAAGCCGATAAACCCTAAACCCTAAACCCCAACCACAAGACCTCAATACAGACAAATGCACGTGCATCTCCTCGTAAGCCCTGAACCCCTAGCCCCGATAAGCTGGCCATAAAGTAAAAGTCTGAGTAGTTTTTTTTGTCTTGCGGGGGGGGGGGG